GCAGGGTTTAGGCAAAGGAGAAGTGGTTCAAAGTAGATGAAGAAGGACAAAGAGTAAAAAGATACATGATATAAAGTTGAGGTAAATGGACTATTTTCCTAGAGTAGCCTCTGAAGGGGAAGAACAAGCTCTGCAGCTTGGTGTCTCAAAGTTAAGCTCATCAGGAAGCATATGTTGCCATTTCTACTTCTAAGTAAGTGAAATCATTAGAACAATTTCTATTTATCTTCCTAGTTATGTCCTTTTTTAAATGCTAAATTTATTTTTATGAAAACTGTATAAAAATTAGATTGAAATATGAAAAGTGATTAATTTACTGTAGGATGGAAACAATTAACTTAGTTTTTCTTTTTCACTCAGCTTTCTGTATCACCAGATTCCAGACACAGTCATCTTTTCACCTGTGACCTCTTTTTGAAAACCATATCATCAAATGGAAACATGCAGTATATCACAACCCCAAGGAAGAAGCACATTTTTGCTGCATGCAACCTAAAAATGAAATTTTTTCAGTAGTGATGTTTGAACCAAATGCACTTTTTAATTATTTTGTTTTCTTTTTGAACTGAATGCAATTTACCTTTGTTTTGTTACTGGCGTTGTACTGTAGACTACATGTGTCCTTTAGGAAACTGACATATTACTGTATATGAGGTTCCTAAAGCCACGTTACTAGAAGATATTTACTTGTGAAGTCAGAGGTGTAATGATGCCCGACTAAGTTTTGCTGCAGTCATGTCGCTTAGAGTAAATCCCACTGCAGTCATACTTTAAGGGTACTGCAGTGGACCTGAACTACTGATCTTTCAGGCCTTAATGCCTCTGATCAAAAACCTCCTTTTCCTGCCAAAATCTAAAAGCAGCTCAGGTGCATTGCAAGGTGTGCCTTGTCATCATCACTCCTTTTATTTGGTCCAGTTTGGATCAGTGAAGATCTGTTACTTCTCCACTGCTTAACACAATAAGAGGAGCCATCTACATATGGTGGCTTTCACTGAGCTTTAGAACAAAACTGTTTTAACTTATGATAAAGCCTGCTGTGGTGATTTGGGTAGAGTCAGTGAAACGTTTTGCTCTGGCATAGGTTTCTAACTGAAATAAATTGCCTCTCTGAAGCTGACATTAACAGTACTTCTTGGATTCATTCAGGTACCAAACACCTCCACCCTGCACAGCTACACTTGTTAAAGCTAGCAGGGGTGTAGCTCAGAACTTGCACTGCACAAGGCTGCAAATTGCTGCCCTTTTAAAATTTTATAGTAACTATCAACTACATTGCCCATCTTCCTGCGTGCTTGGGTGCCAGAGGGGATGCGCTTCACCTTCATCCATGTAATCTGTGGTGCTTCCTTGCCAACTGCACCACCTTTATTTATTCACTGGTAATAACTTTTACACAGGTTACTACCTATTTATTTACTCATTTGACCATTCTGAATGTGAGAGTTTTATGTGGCTTTTGAAGAGTTTTTAAATGGTATTTTATGTGTTAAAAGCAGGGAATAAACCTGGATATTCCAAAACTAAGTCAGTTAACTATTTAATGATGTGCCTATTCTGTTCTTAGAATTAAAAATACTATAAAGCACTGGCAGACTCCAACCCTTAATCTAGTAAACTGTTCAGCAGTGAAATTACAGTTGCTATAATAATTTACGACTTCAGTAATGTTTGTGATGGCTCATGCAATTCGCATGGGATGAATGGTGTATTAGTTACTCAGTAAACTGAAACAAGCCATTTGGGAAAGCACTGTTTGAAAGTGCCTGAGCAGCTTCTCTGGCCCTAGGGGGAGTTCTGCAGTGCCAGACTGAAAATGCAGTGTGGTTGCAAGAGCAGAGTCAACTTTTTCACTTAATGCTGGATTTGAGTTCATTTTCAATTCATAGAATCACAGAATGGTTTGGGTTAGAAAGGACCTTAAGATTATTCAGTTCCAACTCCCCTGCCATGGGCAGGCACACCTTCCACTAGACCAAGTTGCTCAAAGCCCCGTCCAGCCTTGCCAACCTGAACACTCCCAGGGATGGGGCAGCCACAGCTTCTCTGGGCAACCTGTGCCAGTGCCTCACAGCAAAGAACTTCTTAATATCTACTCTCCCCTCTTTCAGTTTAAAGCCATTTCCCATGTCCTGTCACTACATGCCCTTGTAAAAAGCTGCTCTTCAACTTTCTTGTAGGCCCCATTTAGGTCTTTCAGAGCAGTTAAACATGTATTAAATAGGCTGTAGTCATGAACTTACAAAATAGTAAATGGCCAACTGATGAAGGGGTAGTTGAGGTTGCTAATAAACATTATTGAAATTGATTATAAGAATAAAATCCCACATTTCTGCTTTCAGACAAGCAGGGCCCTGTGGCAGGGTCCAAGGGAGTTGTTTGTGGCATATATGGCACCAGCTGAAGCACTGGGGCATGGAGGTCCTTCTTCTGGGTGTTCAAGTTTGCTTTTGCTAACAGCAGATGAAGCTATTGAAGGGTGTTTTGCAACAGTACATCAAATTTTGCAAATACATCAGCTTTCCATTGTAGCAGCAGGCTTTTCAGCCCTGTTCAAGGTGCAGATTGGGGGGAAACAAGGGTTTCAGCCCTTTATGATTCAGTAGGGAAAAAACCAAAACAAACTGGGGTTACCCAGGTGACAGGGTCCACAGTTCAGGTCCTTCTGTTTTGGACAGATGCTTTGGGCCACCTGAGCCCTTCCTGTCTGTGAGCACTGGCTGCACAAGGAGAGACCTCAGTCTGAGGTAAACTAGTTCAGCTCTTCAAAGAGACTAGCAGATCTAAATTACAAAGGAATTCAACTCGGCTTAATGGTTGCAGTACCCTGGCAGCCCTCCAGCCCTCACCTGAATTTGGGCACAATCTGTGTATTTGGGGGTACTCACGGAGGAAAAACTGCAGTTTCTTTTAACGGACAAGAGAGCATGCTTAGGGGGACAAAACAAACCATAGCTGCCCATTTTCAGGCATGTTGCATAGCATGAAGTAGCCTAGCCTTCCGCGGTTATCCTGGGAAACAAGGGGTGCCGGAAACCCCTCCGGAGCGTGTTGCACAAATGCTGGCTATTCATTTCCTTTAGTCACTTCCTTGTTCCTGCCTTCCCTGGCACCCAGGCCAAGCACACCAGCAACTGCAGCACGCCCACGCTCCTGCCACTCGGCTGCAGAGAAGCAGCAGGTGCTTATCCCGTGAAAGCGGTGCATGGAGGAAATAAAACTTTGTACTTTAGTGTGTTTTAAGGTACAAATTTCGTTATTTCTCACCTTAGTTGTGAGCTCTTCACTGTAGAACGCTGAGTTTTGATGAACTAAACTTGTTACTGTACTCAGTGTTTGCAGAAAGCAAATATCACGGACTTCTGACATTTGCTTGGGATTGGGAAAAGGTGAAAACTAAAGTAAGGTGAGAGTTTCAGACAGCACAGCTAAACAGAAATGCCTTTTTTGTCCACCAAGATTAGGGGCAAAATATACCCACAGAATAAAGTTTTAAGGAGTTCAAATCAGCAGTGTAATTACTGACATGTTTCTTTTGTAGAAATAATACTGCAATGCAAAAAAAACAGGACTACTCTGTGAAAGACTGAAAATACCTCAATGCATAATTCTGTCCAAAAGTATAACAAAGAAGTTTAAGAAACAGCATATTGCTAGTGTTTGTGGATTTACTAGTAAAAAGTCCAAGTAATATGTAGAATTTTATTAACAAAAGAAAAGAGGAGAAGGCATTTCAGAGCCTAGCATGATTTCTAAGTGGACCATAAGTCCACCATTGGTTTGAGATAAGCAGAAGACTGATCTTTTTAATAGTGAAGATCTGTTGTAATAGTCATCCCATTAAAAAATGGGAGGACTCTCTGTAGCACTTCTACTCCAGTTAGGATGGCAGAGGGAGTTTGGCTGAAAATGAGTTGCATTAAAGTTAATTCTTAAACATCAAACTTCTCTGTGGATCGAGTTTAACCTCCACTCTGAAGGGCTCACACACAACGCATTCCGGCAGCAGATGCAACAGGCTCACTTCAGCCACACAGAGTACCTTCTGCAGAAAGGTGGTGTAATCTGCTGGTGTAGCAGCAGCAAACACCCTTCCACTAGAACCAAGCAGCAGTATTTTTGTTCCAGACAGACAATTACATGAGTCTGAAGTGTCAGTGTTATGTGCAGCAAGGATACTTGCATCCACTACTCGGTTTCAAGCACAGCAACTCCTGAAACAATACCGTGAATGGCATTGGCTGGGAAGACTATGCAGGGCAGACAAGACAGCAACCGGAGGACAGGTTAATCCCCAACCCCACCAGCCACCCATTGTTCTATGGGGACAGGACATACAAAGGAATGCAGTGTTGTAGAAAAAGTTAGCAGAAACTTAAGAGCTAACAGTAGTAACATTAGTAACAGCTAGAGTAGACACAGGAAGCAGCTTAAATACTAACAGGTGAAGTAGTCAAAACCTATAGATTGTGGTATATGAACTGCAGCAACCATATCACAACATGCCAAATGGTAAAATACAGAACTGGCCAAAACCAACCCAGGAGGATGCTGACAGTGTGTAAGATGATGACAACTTGGCTGCTGTCTCATTACTAAGCAGCTAACAAATCAAACTAATAAAAAGCAAGAAGACTCCAGGCTATATGTAATATTATATCTGCCTGAAGGGTGGGGAACTTTGACTTAAGGGTGCAATTGCCCAGGGATTTCTTCATTCAGTGTTACTCTTCAGAGGCACCGAGCTCAAGCTGCAGCACTACTAATATAAAGTACTTTTATAAAGGAATATCTTTTGTCTTAGGTGGAAGGCACAAAGAAGCTGTGCAAGGTATCTACTCTTTTTGGCAAGAAATGAAGGGGGGTGTGGGTGTGTGTACAAGAGTAACAACCTAGGGAACACATTACATCTTCATGAATGAAAGACTAAATGAAGTGTGGCAAGGTACCATGTTTTCTGGTTTGGTTTTAAAATACAGAAGGCTTCAGAATATAAATGCTTAAACTGCAAAACTGTGGCTTTTATTTCCAAACATACAATAAATAGGTCCACCACAACTAGCCTCTAACTTCATTTTACATGGAAGAATTTTAAAATTAATTTGTGCATATTTAAAAATTAAACTTCCCTTTGCACATAATTCTGTACATAACTGAACTGCATTACACACCAATTTATGGTCTTGGCACTGTGATGCAAGCAACCAATTAGAAACAGAGCTCTGTAGCAAGCACTTCAACAACAAATGCATTCTGCATTGTTGATAAAACATTTACCAACAATTTATTCTTTTTCCAAAGTATACAAAAACCTTCAGCATGTGAATGCTGAAGAATAAGCCGTCTCCTCTCACGTTTCTGCAGGGGCTGCAAGGTGAGTCTGTGGATTTTTAGTAAGTGTTCACTATTTGCTACATGATACAATTTTCATACCAAAATATTTTTACTGCATAGTAACATTCCCTATTTTCAAATGCAAAAAGAAATTGGATGCTGTCTTTTTATCACTCATCACTAAATTTAAAGACATTTTTAACCACAACTCTGTTTCATCACAGTGCAGAAGGCCCTTAATATTTCAAGGATTTATTCAGTCATATCTTTAATACAAAAGAAGAGGCTGAGGAAAAGCCAGAGTAGTCTATACACAATGCACAATCTGTGTACATTCTGAAGCTGTACCTCTTCAAGAACTATTTATACACTCTTCAAACAAATCCCTTTAACCAGCAATTCAAAATACTTTAGATCAGAAGTTTTATATTAGAATCAATACATTATATGCATATAAATACATTTATACCCTTCGGTTGCTAAACAACCCAGATGGCTGCAAGGATGTGACCTGAACTGCTTCTCCATTGGTTTGGGATACCAAACTGTAATGGCAGCTGTTAACCAAAATAGTCACAGTAAAAAAAAAGATCTTTGCACAGGGTAGGTGTGCCACAGCATCAGTTAAGACTAGAAATAACTCTGTGACACCCTGGTCCCTTCAGCAGGGCCAGGATTTCAACTTCTGTGAGATGCAACACACAGGCAACGGTTTTTATCTCTGCCCATGCCCCATTCATGAAAAGTCTCAGCAGAATAACAGAAAAACAGACCCTAAACAACAAACCAAAGCAAAGCTTTTACAACTGCAAATTTTTCACAAGACAGATGCTGCAGCTTTCAAGAATGAAGTAAAGGTTTTAGAATTAAAAAATAAAATAAAATTAAAAAACAAACCCAAAAACTAATGTGCAAGTGTGTAATTCAGAAGACAATAGCAAGGATCAATACAGGCCTCTGTTCAAGCTGAAACATAGTATCCAAACTGCCTTACGGAAAAATAGTTCTCACTGCAAATCTCATCTTCAGTTGATGAATGTGCTTATATATACTTATATACACGCCTGCCATCCAATGCACCCTCCTTCCCTGGGCCAGGCTGCAGCAGCAGCAGCAGCTGCCACTATGATGTTCCAAAGCCCATGCAGGCCCCAGCCCCGGCGCTGTGCCTGAGCGGTCAGACCCTGAGCTCCGTGGTACCGACACAGCGGCACGATGATACTTAGTCATCAGCACTGACTCACCATGCATCCATGAGTATTTCAGGGGTATTCAAAGCAGTAAGCACTGGCGTAGTAAGAAGTGTTCTGAACTTTGTTTCTTAAAGGATACAGCAATGTTGACTCTCTTCAGTATCCTCCAAAGGTGCTAGAGGTTTTAAGTCTGAAGCGTTTCTCTCCACAATGCCAGGTTTACAAATGTGTATCTTTTTAAATAATATTGCACATAAAAATCATCTTAAACTTTGTAGTGAAAGCAGGTTGAAGGACAGTGTTTTCCAAAATAGATTAAAAAGCTACCTGTACATAATAAGTTTTAATTTAAAGAACGCCAAGATTATTCAAAATCTAAGCACATAATACTGACGGAAAAATGTTAAATTGCACAATCTACATATAAATTACATTTGTAAATACTTAAAAGTTTTTAAACATTGAATACCCTTGATTTCACAAATCAGCTAGGTCATTGCCAAAAGATCAGCTTAATGAGTTAGAAGTACTTTCCCCCAGAAAAATATAGAAACAAAAAGATCTGCAGTCTTAGACGAAGCACTGGAAAGAGTTAAAGCATTTCAGCTCAGAGGTAGTGCTAAACATATCCAACTAGAAGTCCATTATATTTGAACTATGATGAAATAACGTAGTAAAATGTAGAAAGACTATAAAATTTACAAAAATAAATAGTTCTGAATGCTTTAGAAAATGCAAGAGACTTCGTTGATAAGTGTCTTGATCTGCTTTTCTGACCAAAAGAAAGCAGTTTGTCTCATTTTTAAAATATACCATCTCTAGTAACGCATCTGCAATCCACACAATCCAACTACGCAACTTGACAGATGCCAACTTGGCATAGACTCTGATATTAAAAATAAAGTGAGGCTTTGTAAAAGATCATCTCATATGAAATTCGTTTTGCATGTAAATTTCTTCTGACAAATTAAAAATTGCACATAAAAAAAGTTTATTGAAAGAGGCATGAGGGGTGATAAGGGTATGTGCCTATTGTTCCACATACCCCTGGAAGGAAAATGATGATTGCACAGTTGTGATAAATAAATATTTCTTTAAAAAAAAAATTTAAATCTGCCACTCTTTTGGTTTTGAAGTTTTGGAATTACTTAGAAAATCCCACTATGGACAAATTATTTCAGTTTGTGTTTTAAAGAATTCTTTACAACTTTTCCAGTGGCTTTTATCCTGAAACCAAACGAAAAGTGGCAGTTGAAAAGTATCTTTGGGTAAAACAAGTATCAGGATCCAACGAGAATTTCCATGATGTGGTCCAACTCACTCAGATCTGTTCTACATATCTGAATGTTGCTTGCTGAAGAAGAATTACAAGATGGAAAGGTTTTCAACGGTTCTTCTGTAGCGAGAGATGGTGGTCTGGGCGGCATTAGTGGAGGGCAACAAAAGTCTGAGTCATACATCGAAGTGTCAATATCTTCAAAAATGTCATCTATCGCCAAATCCTTCAAGTAACTAGTTGAATTCGAAATCTCAAAGGAACCAAACACACATTCAGCTCCCTTCAAATCCTGTCTGTCATCTTCTAGTTTTAGACCAGTATTTTCTGGAAACTTTGGCTGGTCGTCTCCAGTAGGAACCAGACAAGTAGGTGGGCTTATATCTTCTACAAAGTCTAAATCTTTCAGAATAGATGAAATAGCAGATGACATATCATCATCTGAAACTATCAGCAGGCTATTTTCAATTGGGTCTTCTACAGACCGCAAGTCGCAACAGTTAGACTCTTGCTGACTAATACCTGAAGGCAACTGGAGAGAAATCCCAGATGATTCCATCCCTCCGTAGCTGTGAGAACTAGGAGCAATGCCAGGGCAGACATTACTTGGCTGCTGATTACTCTCCTGTCTCATTTCCTCTTGAATTTGCCGTACTGTGTTGGCTATGAGGACAGAGCGGTGCAAGTTTGGTTCCACCAGCATTTTGTATGTCTGTAACTTGGTGAGGCACATATTAAGCACCAACTGCCTCTTAAGCAGGTATGGCAGATTTCGACTGGAATCAAAGGCACTCGAGAGGCCAGCCATGTTCTCCTCATAGTCACTCAGCTTGCGTTTTAGACCTCTCCCCAACATGAACCTGAAAGACAGAAATTATGAATTAATCTTGAGCAAGACTATCGCTTCTGCAAGATCTCAACAGATACTTTTGAAAAGTCTGTGGTGTGCAATGTACAGGTTAACTTAGACTCTAATGCCACAGAATACTGAAAGAGTTTCATTGAGAAGATGCACTTTCCAGCTCTATTGTTTGGGAGCAATTTATTTTTTGTAAGAAAACATGAAAATAAATATAGTAGCTGTTTTGTAAAAAAAGCTATATACTTTCATGGTTTAGGCTGCAGGTTTAATTTTAACTGTACTATGAGAAAATGAATTTAATTATTCAAAATCTTTAATAGGCGAGCTTTTTAGCCTCTTCTTTAAATTATATAGCAAACAAATTCATTAATGAGAAACATCTGAATGTCCACATGAAATAAACAAATGCTTATAGTAAGGATTATAATAACTGTACAGACTATTTCAACATTTTCATTTTAACATTCATTTCTAGGTCCAGTAGGTAAGACTTTAAAGCTAGTTTCAACACCCATTTTTATCTCTCTGAGGGTCTTGCCCAGTGTGTCTCTGAGAAACCTCTATGAAACAAATTTCTCTCCATCGCTGCTGTTTTACTACACTTGAACTACACAGCCAGGCCAGCAAGAGGGCCTCCCATAGGATCCTTATATCCATTCCATAGCTTGGTAGTTTATCTAAATGGGGGAGGAAATTTGTCTGGGCCAGAGAGTTCCCAGAATGATGATCAGGGCTCACGGCTGCTGGTTCACAACCTGCTACTGACTTAATGCTAAGGATATCCCACAGCAGACTATCAAATGGCATTTTACAAGTGACCAATTCTGGTAAATAGCTAAAAGAAAAGAAATAGAAGGTAGCTGCTTTCAGTCTGCTTTGTGTGCTTTTGCATTGAAATATGGTAAGTCTAGAACACTGGTACAAAAAACCTATATGCACGCACACCTAAAATACATGGAAAAAAAAATGAAGGAGTCGTAACTCAGACACGCAATGGCAGATTAAGGGCAGATCCTTCACACACAATGATCCAGACCCTACATGCTTCAGAGGGCCTCCCAACTTCCTTTTCATGTGAGCACTGGATACTGCCAGCAATAGCTCAGCTGATTGCTGCAGCTGCCAGCTGCTAGCCTGTTGCTACACTTTTGGGGACAAGGAGGAGGCAGCAGGATAAAGCCTCTTTTGCTTTTGGGATTTCTCCAGATTTGCAGGAAGCACAGCGGGGCTCCATGGCTACATCCATCTGCCTAGACAAGACTGCTGGAGAACTCAGCATCTCTGGAGGAAAAGTGCATACTGCTCCATAGAGTATTCAAGAAAAAACAGACACTTGCTAAAGAAGCTTAAGACTCCTTGAGCATACCCACTTTCGGGGGGGGGGGGGGGGGGAAGGGGGGGGAGAAAAGGGGAAAGAAAGGGGGAGGCAAACATAGCTGGATAAAATTAAATTTGTCATAAAAATGCATTTATATATAACAGGTAGTAGCAGTCTGGCCTATAGTTCAGTTTACCAGAGGTTCACTGTTAAAATAAAAAAGCTTTCATTGTAATTTTACCAGTGCTGCATTTTTAAACATCATAAGGTGTCTGGGTGTGCCTATTTACCTGGATGATCTTACACCTACCACACACTGCTCCCCCATTCCAGCACCCTGTTCAGAGCAAACAGAACCAGACAGTACTGAGCACTCAAACAAAATCAGAAAGCTGAACACAAAGTTCAGACAACAAATATAATAACAGGAAGTATTTTGGGGGGCAGTGCGTGTCAGACATGTCAGTCAAACTATTGACAACACTGTCAGCAACCGGTAATTTTAGAAACAATCTATGGAAAAATCACGATTATGCAGGATTTTACAGTAAAACTGTTGCTAAATATACTAACTCATATCATGAAGACAATTAGTGTCTGTAAATCACAGACAACAATAAAATCAACAACTCTCCATTTTCAGTAGCATTTAAATGTTGTGCACTACCCAAGGCACCACCCCATACCATTACTGTAACAAACAGAAACATACATCACAATGGCTATTTGGTCACTAAGCACCATTGCTCCCACATACTGCATTTGGCTTTTTCTATTTTAGCTTTTTTCTTTTTCCTCCACTACTTTAAGCAGACCAAAATTCAGACTCATAAGGGAACAAAATTAACACCGTACAGCAAAAAGCAATTCTGACATGTTATACATTCAGAATGCCTGGTTTTGACAACTTACTGCTTTTAATGTATTTTAAAATATATATTTACACTTCATTAGACATATGAAATAACAGACTTATCTATGTTAATTATATAAATACTGTTAATTTCTAACATCCCAAAAATGTGCTAGTATTTAAATTCTTTACAGCAAGCTTACAAAGCAAGCAACTATGATATGCAAGGATATATAATTGCACAAAAACAACTTAAAATGAAATGCTTAACTTTTAAACTCATACAGCAGTCTAATCAAGCTAAACATTTCATCCTCACATATGCAGACACCCTCCTTTTCATTCCTTAAATTTTCTTCATAAAATTTGTCCCAGAGCATTCTAGAAACATGTAACAAAGCCTGAGCATGACAGCACTTTGAACTATAAAAATGAAGTGCAAGAAACATTATTTGCTCCAACTTCAGATATTTTTACTTAACAGACTTCCCACTCTAAATGTCAAAAGATATATTTTGTTTTAAATACACACAGTCCTAGCTTATGTTGTAAAAATTCTGCCTGTTTAGTATGATTTCTGCCTAATTGCAAGGATCCCTAAGTCTCCCTCCAGAAGCAAGATGACTTCAGAAGTTACGTAAAAATTTGGAACAGGCTAATGAAAGCCAGAGTACCACTGGTACAGTGCATTTAAAAATTACTGTGTCATGGTTGCTACAGGAGACATTAAATTTCTGTTCTTGTCAAACACTCAGCTGCTGACCTACAAAAGATACAAAGCCCCTTTGTTACCAGCTAATCTACATTTTATCAGGCCTTTTGCTTTATTTTCTAACACGAGAATTTCTGACAGGGTCATATCCTTAACAACCTGCTCTATATTTTTTAAGTAACTTGTCATTTTGTAGCATTACGTATTAACACACACATCCCAAATCGAAAATTCACACAGCAGTCAAATGCACTCTTCTGATAGCATTACTTTGCAATGTAGGATGTTGGTCACATTATTATAAAGTGCTTCTCCAATTTTTGGTACCAAGGAAAACAAAAGCAAGTCCACACAAAAATCCACAGTAGCATGCCCAGACAAAACCACTGCTGCACAGTTGTCAGTCCTTCCAATCAGCTGAGAGAACGGCACAGCCAGTTCAAAGAAGCATAAATTGGGCATAATAAAACACAAAGAGCATCTAGAAACTGCAATCTCCTTACTCCAGCCTAATTCCAGGAACCTACTCCAGAAAAAACTGGATCAAGTAACAGGATTTCAGAACATGCCAATCTGATAACTGCAATTTGTAAGTAAATAAACTCAATAAAAATTAAAAGTTTATGCCAACTTCAAATGTGAGGTCTATACACAGCTGTTCAATCATAAGCTGTAAGTCACCCTTCTCCTGAACTCTTTCGTAAAGTTCAACAACCAAATTTTTTTGAGTTCAGATGCTCTTATTTTAGAGTCTTTAGTCATTAAAAACCCAAGAACAATGAGGAACACCACATATCCATAATTTTTTTCTGTCATTTTCTCATATTCTCTCGTTACAGTAATGCAAACTGAGCCACAAACCATTTATGGCAGAATACTTTTTTATGTTGCAGATACAGAAAAAAGGAAGCAAAGTGAACTCAGCATTTAGGAGCACCAAATTCATGTAGTTCATGTCACTGAACTACAAAGCAGTCTGTGCGCAGAAATTCTGCCCATGACACCATGTTCCTAGTTCCTTCCAGTTCTATGGAGGACATTTCACAGAAACTCCTCCCTGCTAAGATGGGAAGAAGCACCATGCACTGTAATCCTACACCGTACCAGGGTTTAAAAAAACTTGGAGGGAAGAGGCACGTCCCTGGGTTGGCAAATCCACCCACAATACCAAACAAACAGGCCTGGTCAGAGCATGCAGTTACTCAGAAGAAACATTCCACGCTACCAAGAAGTGCGTTATGGACAATACAGGACTCGTGCCACCATTTTAGAGGGGAAAAACACAGCTCCATCTGTCATAGGGCCTGAAAGTCCAGTGCAGCTGCCAGTGACGCATGGTTAGGAAGTACATCTGGAAACAGTCACAAAAAAGAATGCAGCATGTGAAACCCCTCACTTACTTCTATTTGGGCAAACTACTACTTATTTTCCTCTTCCTCACCTTCCAAAAAAGGTTTTAAGAGCAAATTAAACAATGTTTAGAACTCTGAACCACACAGAGCTTTAATTTTCAGTAGAGAAAAACTTCAAAAGTAATGAGTATAAAAAATTTAACTGGCACAGCACTGTCTGAAAGCGAACTTTTCGTGCACATAACAAGGTAGTCAACTACACAAGAGTGATTCATTTACCATTACAGAATATGTTTAAATAGCAAGATTATCAGTAAGGTACTTGGCCTGCACTACACAGGTCAAAATAATTTTACTGATAGTGGTCCATTCTGACTTTTCTGTTTAATATGTTATTAAATTCAGACTTGCTTGATCCTTTTCATACAGCCACACTGTTGCATTTTCCAGCCTAAGACTGCCTCAAAGTGAAAACTTACTTTCCCTGTACAAAAGAAATACCAGATTTGAACAGGTGTAAGCACTTCATGAGTGAAAGCTGCCTGTCTAGTTTTCAGTAATGCAACTTCTGTATTAAAGACTCCTTGCTATTGTAATTTGGGTAATTCCCTTTCAAAGTTTCCTTTGGCTCCTAACTGTAGAAGCCACGTAACAGTAAAAGCAAACAGAAGTCTCTTCAGATTATACACTTGTGTTAGTGACTGACCAAAGCCTGCTGAAAACCTGATTTACTGCTCTCCTCTTTTCCACAGACACATTTCACAAGCATGCATCTATCTGTAGGAAGTGCAAAGGAAGACAAATGTCCTTATAGTTATCGTTATTTCTCAAAATTACCTGATGTATGTCATATACTATTTTTAATGATAATCTTTCCCCTACCTGACACAGATTTTGGTTTAGGCAGCACAACTTCTTTAGTAGTTTTTATTAAGTTGTGGACCGGCTCTAGACTAGTATAATGTATATATTTTCCATGTATAAGCAGCTGCACAAGAAAAGGGTACAGCTGAAGGTATGGTTAGCAGAGACAGTATAAATCCCTTCCTCCCATCCAGACTTAGCACTGATCACTTAGATATGACTTACATAACACAGTAAGCTGTCAGACTGTACAGAACAGTGCACCTGATCTGGTGTCCTCAGTAAGTGCTGAGGATCCCCATATAACATCACATCTTGACTTCGCAAATATTAAGAGGAAGTGAAGGAAGGAGTATTAAACACCTTAGAAAACACTACAGAAGAAAAAAAAAAAAAAAAAAAAAAAAGGAAGTTGGGCCTAAAGGCACTTTAAAACACACCAAAAAGTGTTTAAGTCCACTGCCTCCCCATCCCCCTTCAGCCCTGCCCCAGTTTAGCCAAGATGAGTAACTGCTGAAGAAGGCATGAGTGACTAGAAGTGTGCATACAGGGAGGAGTGCAGTCCTACCAGCTTACTCCCATACCTAAACTCCTATGCAACAACTTCTTCTGGTCACAAATGACCAGAAAACAGCTGCTCAAAGAAGGGAGAATTGACGTTAATTTTTTGATCACCAAATCCTACCCTATAATACAGATAACTCTGTTACTAATAAAGCAACTGGGACACAGAATCAAGATATGACACTGTTCAGACTTCACAGCAAAACAGAATAACCCACATATGCTCACAGAAAGCAAACCCCAAAACCACACAGAAAAAATCCCCACACCTATGGATGTACTCAACATGTAGGCTGTATAGTATTTGTTAAGTAGAGAAGCAGAATGAGAGGAAGAGTCTAGAACAGAATTAGTCAGGAATTCATAACCTTCCCACTGCCACTTCACTATTTGTGGAAGCAGAGAATAAGTATCACACAGCCCGGTATTGTAGGAGCTGAAATGATGTTTACAAAGCATTTGCAGTTTAAGTTTTACCTTGATTTAAAAGCTAGTTTGAAACCCCCCATTCCCAACCTGTTTATGTTATGTCTACTGGGATCTGGTAAATTCCTGCACTTAAAGGACATCTTCCTAAATTCCTTACTCCCATTTTACTTCATAAAGCACTGGTAGTAAGAGCTCTGCTTTACACACTAACGCAACTAGATTTCAGACCACAACATTTCAATCCGGAGAAGAAACTCCTCTTTTATGATGTGGAACTTCCACACACTAAAACAAGTGGATGTGGGCTCTTTACAACAGTAAACGAACCATATTCTCAGCACTAGTATCTATCACTAGCAGCTAATATAGACCACTGCTCAAGCAGCACCAGCCTTAGTTTTTTCCCTACTTAGGTAGAAAAAAAAATTCATCCTTGAAAGAAAACAAAATCACTATCACTCTTCTCTTTCCTCTCCCCCTCTACACTTTCATATTTAGTTCCAGATTTACAAATAAAACTCACAGGTATATATTTTTAATGTGAGTTTGTTTAGCAGATTCTTTTTCTTCTTTTTTTTTAGTGGAAGAAGGGACCAGAATCATTTAAACCAAGGTTCAACCGTAGTTAGCAAAAGCCAACACATGATGAAGAGTTGCTAAATCTAGGAACTCCCACAGTAAAACTAAACTGTAATTAAATGAGAACATGAAGGAACCCAAATAACAAGAACCAAACCACCACAGCTCCACTGAAGTATCTCACTGGAGAGAGAAATGATCACTAGAACTACAAAAGTGATGATATGCCTCTTCAAAGCTTGTTCTACTCAACTGAACAGTTCTCAACCCTTTTTCTTAACAGTAGCTATTTACTTCAAATACAGAGATACTAGATGTATTCACCTACATAACAGTGACATGTATTTTAGGGTTACAGTGATCTGAATAAAGATCCATTAATGATAAAACTTCTGACTTATTAACTTCATCAGATCAGTATGCCCATACTGTAACAGAAAAATCAGACCAGTAATTAAGGACTGTGCATTTACTCTAGCTCTCTGTATGGGATATTTAGGTAAATAATTTTCAACAGCCAAATCAGAAATCATTTTAAATTTTCTCTAACAAAGTAGCACACCACTTTTCTTCAGTATTCAAAGTGCTTTCTCCTTACAAGACAGGACTGTAAACTCAATTTCAGCAACTGAGCAGTGGACTTCACTGTAAGACTGAGGCCTTGGATACCAAATTTCCAACAGATATGATCTGATGGCAATGTTGTACTCTTTGTGACATAATAGTACTTTATAACTGGGGGGGGGAAGGTAAATTCAGAATATACAAATCAAAGAGCTTATCCTATTCAGTAAGCCTAAAGCACTTTATATTACATACTCCATTTTTATTTTTCAGTTTACCATCCTAACCTACAAAAATAACATCTACAGCTGATTATCAGAACTTACATTATGCACATAAGGTATTGTTTCATAAGAACATACAAGTAGTTACCCTTAGAAAACAGAAAGGAGTCCAGGCAGGAAGATTCCAGGTTTTGCATAAAGTGTAGTCATCCAATAGTCTTGAACTATCCACAAGGCCAAGCCACCTACCAAGGCAGGATGATGTGACTTAAGGGGAAAAAGAATAAAAAAAAACAGTATTTCATTACCATATGATTTATTTTTTTTTAATCAGAACTATTAAGCAAACGTTTAAAACAATTTGTGTTAAATCCTATTAAAACAGTTAAACTGTGTAAGAAAAACTGAAGTTCATGAATACACAGAAATAAGAGGACCTAACAGTTTCACCTATGAACACAAACCATGGAAATTACCTTTCATAAATGAATACTACAGAATAGAATGCTCATCCTCTAAGTGTTAGGCTTTAGGATAAGAACTTGCATTGATACTTCTTCAGGTTACTGAACACCCATTTACTGTTGGAGTCATCTCAGTAATCACATACCAGTAGAGACAATAAACTGTAAAGAAATACATCTTAGAATTACCCCCAACATTTACATGCTGCAAAAGGAGTTTGATTTTTCTTAAATTCCCTAATTTTTCTAGTTTCAGCACACAAAGCTAATATAAGAAGACAGCTGGCAGGATATGCCATGATTGCATATAATATTGTCACGTAATTTTCATCAAAACCCTGATATAGCAGCATCTGCAGTTTGGGTAGAAACTGCATGGATTAGATCAATCATGGAAATGCTAGAAAATGTGAAAAGGCTGAAGTGACAGTGAACTATGGACTTGACTACAAGATGTGGAGAGAATTGCATGATCCATGCTCTTGAGGTCTCAACTCCACCTAAAGAAGCAAAGTTTTTTAATTCCAAGAATTAAAGCCCTTATATAAACTAAGGGCCTACTGTCTGGACTATATGTAAGGTTTGTTTGTGTACAATATACACACACACACAGACCCCTGCCCCTCAACTACCACAAACCAATTACTTCACCAATTTACCACAAGAGCAAGGATCATTACTTATCCAGATAAATACAGTCCTTCGCAATCAAGGATTAGGAGTTCCTAAGTTATTTTACAGATCTTAACATAATACACAGTGAAAGGCGGTCTTACGTTTGAATTGATGGACAAGTAAACGAACACAGTTCATCTTACATAGCAACTCATAGCCTGATGCTAGCAAAGGGTTCATCCGCTTACAGAATCTTGGAACTGTAAAGATGTAGTAAACAGCAGTAAAATGCCCATGACCTAAGAATGCCAAATCTAACCCACAGCAATAACACGGTAGTATCTCCCCCCCTCCTTCTAGAAGCTAACTTTTTTCCCATCATGAGGAGATCCATGCTATTTGTGAATGAAAAAATAAAACCAAATACACAAATGAAGATTCACAACCTACCTGCTTTGAAACAGCAGGACTTCAGAAGGTCACTACTGAGGTTTATTAAAGTGTACTTGTTAGGTCACAGGGGGGAGGTGCACATTCACTGCATTTTCTACCCAATGAACATAAACCATCAAATGTTTTAGAATATTAATTCTCTTTAGTACTAAAGAATCCTGGAGAAGCTAACAAGCATTCTAATTGTGTTGATTGCGTTAGAAGTCCAACCTTTTGCTAGAAGTCCAAAAAGTTCCTGAATTTAATTCCTTTATTACATACTTTAAAGGACTCTTGCAAAATTAACTGCTGAGGTTATGATTTTTCCACTATGCTTTCACTCGTCCTGACATTAGGACGAGTGTCAGGAAGAGCTACAGATGTAAGGTTATAAGGTTTAGTTTTCACAATCTGATTAAAAAAACTCAAGCAAATCCAAACTACACAAGACACACGGTAGCTGCAAATGACTATAAACTGTATGTTCAGTAGATTCTTTTTTGTCTTTTTCTTTGAACATCTCCCCACAGAGTTTCTTACTACCTCTTTATGGGTCACTTCAGAAATCTGATATTATAGCATTTATTTCAATGTTAACGCTATTTTCCACATTGCAATTCACTGCCTGAACTAAAGAATATTACCTGAATCAAAAACAAAACGGAAAACTACTGCTCAGGGCTCTTACCTCTGTTTCTGGAAATGAACTGTTCCAACACAGTTTGAAAAATTCCAGGCCTATCTAGGGCAGACATTATTAACTGCATCTATTAGTGAGATGAATTTACGACATGCACAGAAGAGGCCAAGCTTATGCACTTCCAGTCTTACCCACCTACTTGCAGGCCAGACTAACGTACACCTTTATCGAGTCGAACAAAACCAGCTATTAAAAACCTGACGGCAGCGAATACACAAATCGTAGCTACCACAGAGGCAGCGGTCACGACTGCCAAAATTAAAAAGCTGCGATTCAGGGAAAGCCTCCTTCCTGCCACCCTTCCTGCAGCCACTCCTGCGAGTGCACACGTACTAATGAAGCCCAAGGGAGCCTGCCACCATTTGGCCTTTGTGGAAGGAGACTAGTTGGTACTTCCTGCAGCGGCCGCCCGCGCCTCCTCCCCCCCCCCCCCCCCCGCAGCAGCGGGCAGCAGTAACCAGAGACAACCTTGGGTTTCCCGAGCTGCGAAAAGTTACACTCCTCCCCCTTCCTCCTCCCCAGCTTACCAGAGACCCCGGCCAAGCTAATTATAACAACTTCTACGGCAGCCCCCGCTCCCAACGTCCTGCTCCCCAGCCTCCCCAGCCCCGGCCGCGCTCCCCCCACACTTCTCACCCCGCCGTCCCTCCTCCTCCTGGCCCGCCGTGCCACACTCCCCCTCTCGCCGTCCCTCCCCACCTGTCTCCGCTCCCCGTCCCCTCGCTCCTTCGGGCCCCCGCCCGCGCCCTGCCCCCACCCCGGGCAGGGACCCTTGCCCCCTCAGGGGGCTCCCGACGCCCCCCGCCCCGCCCGGTCCAGTGGTCCCTCCTCGGCGGCTGCTGCCCTCCCCCGCACACCGTGCCGTCTCCCCGCACGCAGGCTCGCCGGCTCCACGGCCGCGGAGGGTCGTGACTTCCCTCCCGCCCCCTGACCCTCACGGCGCCTCCCCCGGCGCCACCGCCCAGCCTGGCCCGACCCTGCCCGGCACCCCCACCTGGGAGCGGTGGAGCCCCCCCGTTCCTCCGCAGCCCGCTGCGCCCTCCTTAGCCAACCGGCCAAGCTCCCTTCGGCGGGGCTGGCACTCCGACCGGGAGGAGGCGGAGGCAGCGCCACCCCCGCCGGGCCCCGGCAGCGTCCGCTCCGCCCGCGGAACCCACAGCGCCGGCAGGGGGCGGGGGGGCAGGGGGCGCTGCGTGCACCGCGCCCGCCAGCTGGCCGCCTTCCCATTGGCCAGCGGCCCTTTCAACCTGCCCAGCAACCATTTTCTCACTGGCAGGCCAGCCGGGGAAGGGGGGTTGAGGTCCGACTGGCCCCGCGGCACTCCCCAATGAGAAAGCCGGGAGAGCCAGAGCGGGCGGGGCCGCGCGCCGACTTCGCCCAATCGGAAGACGGGCACCGCTGTGGAGGTGCTCTGGCTCCGGGAGGGGGCCCCGCCCGCGCGGCGGGGGATGGGAGGCGGTGTCCGGGGGACAGGGGCTGCTGCGAGCGGCGGGGGTCGCGTCCGGACACCCCATTTCCTCGTTTTGGCTTAAACTCAGGGTCGATCTCTGACCGGAACTGCCGGATTTCAAACAGGGTGGCCCGTGAAGCGCCATCCCTGCTGCTGCCGTGTGCAGGGCGTTCGGGAAACGGCGCACGTACACGCCTGTCAGCCGGAGCTGGCTCACCTCAAACATTGCACAATCCTCCACGCTCACCAGAGCGCCTTTTCCTTTAAAGATGAGGCAGTCTGGGCCACGTTCAAACCTCCTGTGTTTGCTTTCCACGGGTATTTGCGTAAGCGAGTTACATCGGCGCAAGTGCTTGTGCAAACGGATTTCAAAATCTGACACGAACCGTTTGTAAAGATCGATCCAGAGCCTTTGCCGGAGCCTGCCGCGGGCAGCCTGGTGGGTCCCGAAAACCCTGCGTGGCTCCCTGGGACGAGCTTAGATTAACCTGTAAAACAGTGAAAACAAAACGGGGGCACATTTGTGCAGGCACGTCCTTCCTACGCCTGATGTGAGCACAGGCCAAACGCACACACAGATCGCACGCTGTTCTTGTAAGTACCACAGGAACACTTTAGTTGTTTGCTGGAGAGAAACTGCGACTTCAATGAAATACCACTTTGAAACCCTTCAGGTTCAACGGATTTCAACCGTTGTGTCCTGGTAGGAGAGGCTTGTGAAGATGTAGGAGCGTGTTCAGCCCACGGGAAGAGGCGAAATGCAGAGGCGCAGAAAGCCGCAGCCGAGCCCGCAGGATCCGTAGCTGGAGGAAAGGGACCATCTCTGTGGGGCCTCCTTTCTGCTGCAGTGTGCCGCCCGCCGCCGGTTCCTGGCCACAGCTGTGCTTCGACCGCGCTGCCGGGGTCACAAAGCGCAGGAGGGGAGCGAGTGCTGCCCTGAGAAGCATTAATGAATCCTTTTTGACGCGCTGCCGGGGCTGTGCCTGCGGGAAGGATGCCTCCCGGCACGGCTGAAGGATGACACCCCTATCCCCACGGTCCATCTGCTCAGCAAATGTGAGCAGGGGACCGGTGGCAGCGCTACGGGGGAAGAGTGAATCGAATATCCCTACCCTTGTACCCCTTCCCTTCCCACCATGTGCTGTGGTCCAGGTGGAAGAGTAACTCCAAGATGTTCAGGATTCTCTCTGCTCAAGCCAAGCAGGGCCAAACAGGAGGAATGCAATAGGACCGACCCCTGCCATATGCTAGGGATTATCTCCAAAGAATAGACAGGAGAGGCATACAAAGGGAGCTGGTGTTGAAGGGAGAGATGGAATGATTATGTCTAATGCAGTATATAAAGTGGTAATTTAACCAGCAGCACCAACAAAGTATTTTAATAACTTGAGCAAAAATTAGGTTTTCTAGAGTTGATCCCCGCTGGACAAAAGCACGCAATTTCCAATCAACCCCATAGCGCTGGTACAGGGGCAATTAGTTCCTCTGTACAGCCTCAGTGGGTTAATGCAGTACCAGAGCCACCATGCTGTTCTCCCCCTGTTCAGCTGACCTCACAGAAAGACACCAACACCAATCACCCTGCTTTCCCTGCCCTTCCTTAAGTTATTAACCTAACGTGGTCAGCTGTTCTGTAACCAATTTTTTGTTTGTGTAGTAGAAATCGGGGCTTCTCTCTTCTACAGCAGGGATTTCTAGAAATGTTAGTTCTATTTCACAGATGCTCTGACAAGATGTATGGAAAAAACACTGACTTGTTTAAATACACACATCAGAACATAGGATTTATGGCCTAACATTTTGAGAAGTTAACAGAAGGTATACTGGTTATTTGCAAAGGTTTTTGTCACTTTTTTTGCTCGTGTCAATGGTGGGATTCATGGAATCATAGAATAGAATTACATAATTGACTAGGTTGGAAAAGACCTTAAAGATCATCAAGTCCAACCATTACCCCAACACTGCCAAGACCACCACTAAACCATATTGCTTAGGGCCTCATCTACATGCTGGAGGGAAGGAATGCCATCCAGAGGGACGTGACATGCTTGTGAGGTGGGCTGATGCCAACCTTATGAAGTTAAACAATGCTAAGCGCAAGGTCCTGTACCTGGGTTGGAGCAATCCCAGGCACAGCTACAGGTTGGGCAGAGAAGAGATTCAGAAAAGCCCTGCGGAGAAGGACTTGGGGGTGTTGGTTGATGAGAAGATGAACATGAGCCAGCTTCAGTGTGTGCTTGCAGCCCAGAAAGCCAACCGTATCCTGGGCTGCATCAAAAGGAGCATGACTAGCAGGTCGAAGGAGGTGATCCTGCCCCTCTACTCTGCTCTTGTGAGACCTCACCTGGAGTATTGTGTGCAGTTCTGGTGTCCTCAACATAAAAAGGACATGGAACTGTTGGAACAAGTCCAGAGGAGGGCCACGAGGATGATCAGGGGACTGGAGCACCTCCCATATGAAGACAGGCTGAGGAAGTTGGGGCTGTTCAGGCTGGAGAAGAGAAGGCTGCGTGGAGACCTCATAGCAGCCTTCCAGTATCTGAAGGGGGCCTATAGGGATGCTGGGGAAGGACTCTTCATTAGGGACTGTAGTGACAGGACAAGGGGTAACAGGTTAAAATTTACATAGGGGAAGTTTAGATTGGATATAAGGAAGAAGTTCTTTACTGTAAGGGTGGTGAGGCACTGGAATAGGTTGCCCAGGGAAGTTGTGAATGCTCCATCCCTGGCAGTGTTCAAGGCCAGGTTGGACAGAGCCTTGGGAGAGATGGTTTAGTGGGAGGTGTCCCTGCCCATGGCAGGGGGGTTGGAACTAGATGATCTTAAGGTCCTTTCCAACCCTAACTATTCTGTGATTCTATGATTCTGCATGGTTTCTGAACACTTCCAGATTCCACCACTTCCTTTGGAAACCTGTTCCAAAGCCTGATCACCCTGTCTGTGAAGATAACTGGAATCTAGTTCTGTTTAGCAATGTTTATGTCCCACGCAACTCGCACCTTAAGCTACAGGAGCCACATTCTGTCTCACAGGCTTAATAATTCAGAGGTTTGAGCTCGCATATAAGGTCTTCCCTGACAAAAAATTGCTTTAAAAGGCCCTTACTTTCTCAAATGCGGTCATGTTCCAGGAGTCTTTCATGCTTTCTCATTTTGTCTGAAACTAACCTGGAGGCAAATAGCAGACTTGACAATATGATTTTTTTTTATCATTTAAACATGGTCTTTCAGTATGACAATACTTGCCACAGCAGGCCAGCATACCATTCTCATGAGCAGCATTTTTTGCTTTTGCAGCAAATTTCACATGAACCAGAAAAAAATGAACCCCCAAACCAATCAGGGTCTCTATATAGCTCATCAAAAGGGTTACTAGAGGTCTCTTACTTCCACTTACCTTGATAGCAGGCATCTATTAAAAAACACAGTTCCAGGAACACAGGAACTAGTGAATACTGCTTTCTTATGGATTTATGCCTGTGATTAATTGCCTCTGTGTCTAAGGTATGAGCTCTAATTGAAGCTGGTCTCATGCCTGGAAACTTAAGAGATGTCTCTCTCTTATCTGGATTACTGGATATCAGTACAGAATGCAGTTTTCTTCTATCTCCACACTTAAACAAACAAAAAAAATATCTAAAAGTGTAGTTGCTGTGAGATCTGCCAGATTTGGTTGCAATTAGCTACTTTGAAGCTGGATGACAGAACGATCATGTATGCCATACTTTGACAGCGAAGTCAAAAGGGGTAGCACCTGCTGCACTAAAGCATGGGTAGTTTTTCCACCTCTTTTTGGTGGTGAAGCTTTTGTGAACTACTAACTAATCCTACATTTACTCAAGTTTAAAAAAGCTATGACTCAAGATGGTAATTTGAAAAGAAACAAGCCCACATTACTGGATATTTCTCAGGACACTAAATAAGCCATTATTCTATTTTGTCAAAAGAATTGCAATTTACAAGAAAAAGAACTTTCTCCCTATACCTTTCAAGCAAACCAAATGTTACTAGGCTTCAATTAAAACAAATAACCATTCAGCCATTTTATCTTCAACTTCAGTGAGCTCACAGGTCAACAAAAAA